AAMCGCTCGTGGTACGAACGTATAATGTATCTGTCGGAGGGGTTGAAGAGGGAACGTTAACAGCACCTTCCACAAGTCTGACACCGACGTAGGATGTTCCAGTTGTAAGTCCGGCGTTTGGACCCGGACGAGGTTTCATGTAGCACGTTTGGCTCCTGTGTGAGTTTAGCTGCCGTCAAGATTCGCTTGTCTCGTTCAACTTACTTGTCCCATGCGACTGCATTACAATTCAAGTTGACATCGCAAGTCGCCAAACATGCATCAAAGCTGCGAATGTTGTTGACAATTCCGGCGTTTCCAGTGTAATCGTTTGCGCAGTACACCCGGTAGGCTACTCCATTCGAGTCGGAATAGACTGTGCCTGCGGTTCCGGCATCTGGACATGTGGTCTAGGAGGTGGTCAGTGATTGCATTCTGACGCCAGCTCAAGTCAGCTTACCGCTGTGACGGGYGGGTATGTCGACGCTGGAGACGAAGAGGAGGACGTCTGTATGTCATGTCAGCTCATTTTCAGATAACTTGCGGAGGAACAGTCATACAGAGGATGTTGTAGTCGTTGTAGTAGGGAAAGGCGTGGTCGTCGTGGTTGTTGTCGGGAATGGTGTAGTCGTTGTGGTGGTGGTAGTGGGGAATGGTGTAGTCGTTGTGGTGGTGGTAGTGGGGAATGGTGTGGTCGTCGTAGTTGTGGTAGTGGGGAATGGTGTGGTCGTCGTAGTTGTGGTAGTAGGGAATGGTGTGGTCGTCGTGGTTGTGGTAGTGGGGAATGGTGTGGTCGTCGTAGTTGTGGTAGTAGGGAGTGGTGTGGTCGTCGTAGTTGTGGTAGTAGGGAATGGTGTAGTCGTCGTGGTTGTGGTAGTGGGGAATGGTGTAGTCGTCGTAGTTGTGGTAGTAGGGATAGGCGTGGTCGTTGTGGTTGTGGTAGTGGGGATAGGCGTGGTCGTTGTGGTTGTGGTTGTGGGGAATGGTGTGGTCGTTGTGGTTGTGGTAGTAGGGRTAGGCGTAGTCGTTGTAGTCGTAGTTGTAGGAAATGGTGTAGTCGTAGTTGTCGTCGTGGGARATGGCGTAGTCGTAGTTGTTGTTGTAGGGCGAGTCGTCGTAGTAGTAGTTGTCGTTGGGACAGGGGTCGTAGTAGTAGTCGTCGTAGGGAAAGGCGTTGTAGTAGTAGTAGTTGTCGTCGGCGGARTCGGAGTCGTCGTAGTAGTAGTCGTCGTAGGAATCGGAGTCGTTGTGGTTGTAGACGTAGTAGGAATCGGAGTCGTTGTAGTAGTTGTTGTTGGGAAAGTCGTGGTCGTCGTAGTCGTCGTAGGGGAAGGCGTTGTTATAGTAGTGGTGGTTGGACTTGGTGTGGTGGAAGCTGTGAAAGGGAAAGAGTTAGCTTGCAGACTAAAAGGAAAGCTAGAAATTATGAGCGAATGTGAGCATCCAAGGCCAGGTCAGGAGGTGATGGATCCATGGTCAGATGGCATGCGTAGGAGGCGGTGGAGAGAGTAGCTAGCAAGTTCGCCACTCTATAGATATGATGTCAACTTTGGACGTTGACGAAGCTTGGGTAATACATCCAGTGCACGGTAAATCTGGGACTTGCTCTGTCCAGTTCTGCTGTGGATACCAACACGTGGTTCACTAATGCTAGCCGATGAGCCAGCTGTAAAGGCCGAATCGAAGTAGTGTTGAGAGTCGAGCTCAAGCTAGACAGAAGTAGACGACGTACTTGAGGATTGAGGCAGTGAAGTGCTCAAAGAGGAGGTGGTCGAACCAGACGATGAAGTCGAAGTAGGCGAAGTACTGGTAGTAGTGCTCGTCGTGGTGCTTGTCGTAGTAGTGCTCGTCGTGGTGCTCGTTGTGGTGCTTGTCGTGGTAGTGCTTGTAGTGGTAGTACTTGTTGTGGTGGTGCTTGTCGTTGTTGAGACTGTCGTGCTAAATGCTGCAGACGACGAACTACTCGAGGGGGTAGTGGTCGATGCCAATGCGGACGATGAAGTCGAGGAAGACAACGTGCTCGTTGTCGTTGTCGTTGTCGTTGTGCTTGTCACACTGGCAGCTTGAGACGAGGACGTGCTTGAAGAGGATGAAGTACTGGTCGTTGTCGTACTTGTGACACTGGCAGCTTGAGATGA